GCCGCCCCGACCCCCAAGCCGTCCCTGCTTCGCGACATCCTGAGCATGTCGAACGATGAGCTCGGGAAGGAGACCCTGCAGGACCTCGGCAGGTCGCTAGAGGTCAACCCCGAGGAGCTGGACACAAGCCTTGGAGCAGGTCCAGGCTGCCAAGGCCATGAGTTCGTCTCAAACCTGAAGCTACACCTTGAACAGGCCAAGTTGAAGGCCGCGGCCGACCGCGAGGAGCTGCTGCAGGCCGCCAAGAAGAGGAAGGCCGACAACTGCACCAACGCCGAGATGCCACCAGGCTCTTGCGCCGACGCCAGCGCCGCCGAGGGCGTCGCCCACGGGCGTGCCAGCCGCGCCAGCGGCGCCCCCGCGGCCAGCGGCACCGTCGGCGACGGAGGCAGATGCGACGGCCAAGGCGGCGGCGGAGCAGGCGGCCGAGGACCAGCAGGCCGCCAAGGCCAAGGAGGTAGCCACGCAGACGCTGCTGGAGCAGGCGCGCAAGCAGACGACGGCGACGGCGAAAGCCGCAGCAGCCACCTCCTGACAGACGCCAAAGTCTGAGCGGGTCGTCAAGTCCGAGCGCCCGTTCAGGTCCATCTTCTTCGGCAGCGCCAGCACATGGGGAAAGACTGCCAGCAGATTCGTCAAGGAGTCGTTTCGGAATGACTCACATGACGCCTTCGTGCTGCAGGAGCCTCACCTCGCGTGAAGCGCGAGGGGATCGAGGCAGTCGAGAGGGAGCTCGGCGCCCTGAGCTTCCGCGCTTGTTTTTCTTTCGCTCGCCAGGACGAGACTTCCAAGATGGGGTCTCGAAGAGGCGGGGCCGTCGCGATCAGATCACGACGCCGGAGCTGCTTTCACAGAGCTTGCTGAGCCCCGCTGTGCTTCGCAAGCCACCGCAGTTGCCTCGCTTTCCGACGCTCGACAGCCACCAGCACGCCCACCAGCACGACCCCCGCGACCGCCCCCCGCCCTCCGTCCCCCCTCTCCCTCCTCCCTCTCTCTCCCTTCCCTGTCGGGCCGCCCTTGCCGCTGCGCCTGTCGCGCATTTTTCGGCTGTGTCGAGCGTGCGTGCACGGGGTGGTGGCGGAAGTGGCCCCGACCAAAGGGGATGCTCCACCCACCCCGTGCCGCAGGACCGCGTTTTGGACTCCGGCCCGACACGCCCAGCCCCTGTGGACACGCACCTCAAAGATAGTTGCGTGCCGGGGCTGCGGATCAGCGGAGGAGGAGGAAGAGGAGGAGGAGGAGGAGGAGGAGGAGGAGGAGGAGGAGGAGGAGGAGGAGGAGGAGGAGGAGGAGCAGGAGGAGGAGGAGGAGGAGGAGGAGGAGGGGAGGAGGAGGAGGAGGAGGAGGAGGAGGAGGATAATTGATTCCGTAGCCATTTTGGCTCAAGTCCGGAGGCATTGCTCAAGAGGACTGAGGTTTTGTGGCAAGGGGAGTCACGGCCCCAACAGCTTTCAACGGTCTCAAGGAGTCTGCTACCGTACTGAGGGTTCATCCCTCACGGCTGCGGCCTCTTGCACACATACGATTTCATCCATGCCTGGCTGGGGCTGTCGCTCTTGTCACACGTGGAACAATGGCAACCGCGCCAAGTGCTACGGGTGTGGAGCCTTCAATCCCAATGGGAGGCAACCGCAAGCGGCGACGCCACCACAGCCAAGGGGACAGTGGGGATACGGCCCGCCTCCCACGCCGCCGAGCCCGCCGCATGGTGGACCTCCCCCGTGGATGGCACAGAAGCCGCGTCGCTTTCTCCGCTCTCCATGGGTCCAGCAAGCCAGTCAAGAAGGTTGGGCTCAGTCTCGGCAAGGGTGGGGTGACACACAACCACTTTCCGACGAAGAAAAGGCACATTGGATCGGCATGGACGAGAGCACTTTCTTCTCATTGTCGGTCCGACTCTCTCAAAGTCAGCGGGACAAGCTCATTCATGCGAGGAGGCTCAAGGCTGCAGGGCAAGGGATTCCTTTCGGAGTTGAGGTTCCTAAGGGCGTTCAGTCTCTTCAACACAAGCTTGTCGAATTGCAACGGAAAGAAGAACGACAGCTCGAGGCAGCTCGGCGGGCACTCCAGGCAGTGGGCGAAACTCAGACACAGCTCTTGGAGACCAAGGCCCAGCTCGAGACGGCCAAGGCTGAGGCAGCCAAGGCCTTGGTGGGCAGCCCATCGGCGCAGGCGCAGGCGGCCATCCAGGGCATGGACGAGCAGCTCATACAGTTCTTGGCTTCCTTCGCCGAAGGGCTCGCAAGTGCCGACGGGGTTGAGGCGAGGAAGAAGAAGCTCGAAGAGAGTGTGGGGCAGTTCAAATCCACGCTTGGAGCGGCCTTCTCGGCCATGGGCTCTCAGCCAGCCAGTGCGGCAACGGGAGCCCCTCCGATCGCTGGCGCCGCAGAGGGAGCTGGAACCCCTGCAGCAGCCACAGGAGGCGCCGTCGCACCAGTTTCGCAGGCCCAGGCGCCTGTGGAAACAGGCCAGCCGACCTCCCAAGACGTTGGCATGGCTGCTGTGTCTGCTCGGGCTGATGATCCAAGTCTCGACAGTCAGGAGCAGCAGCGTGAACGTTTCATCCAGGCTGGCATGGAGCGGCTCAGGAGGGCCGACTTTCGAAGCCGATCGCCGCCACCAGGGACAGTCGACAAGCGTCTTTGATGGACAATACGGCATACCAGGGGGCTGTACTGCGGCGACAGCGTCGAGGGCTACTCCATCTTCTATGCCAACAGGCCTGGGATCCCTTCCAGAGTCTGAGAAGGTGGTGACCCCGTGGCGCGCGGCTCATGGCAGCCCCCACGGAGCGAGTCCCACTGGAGACCTCGGAGGTGAGCCCACACGTGCGCGCTGGGCCACATTTCCTTCGAGGGCGACTACTTCATCCTCTTGGGCTTCCTCTGGCGCGTCTGAGAAGGTGGTGGCCCCGTGGCGCGAGGCTCACAGCAGCCCCCGCGGAGCGAGACCCACTGGAGACGACCGAGGAAAGCCCACAGGCTCGCGAACATCATCTCCCTCGGCGCAGAAGGGGGTGTCCCAGTCAGACACGTTTGACTTCTATTTCGCGAACATTACTTCCTGGAACGACAAGACTTTCGATTATTTCAATAAACCTGGTGGTCCACTCGAGATGGCTAAAGTGATTCTCTTTGTCGAGACTCATCTTCGGAATGCCAAGCTTATTCAAACATCGAAGCACGTGGCGAAGCTTGGCTGGAAAACCAACGCTACTCCTGCGGTGGACACGGCAGGAGGCGGCCTTCAAGGACATGGAGGCATTGCAATTCTTACAAGGAAACATCTTTGGCATGATCCGCTCATCTTGAAGGACCGCCTAAGCATCACAGAACAGACTGGGATCAATCAGATTAGTCAATGGTGCGCGACAACGGTCAGGATGCAGCGGGTGGACATCATTTTCGTCGCCGTTTATTTGGCCCCACATCTTGGGATTTCTGGATCTAACTTTCAGATCCTAGATGAGGTTGGCAACTATCTCAAAGTTCAAGGTAAGCCATACATTATTGTTGGAGATTGGAACAACACTATCGCTGAAATGCAACAATCAGGGCTTCAAGTATTCCTCAGAGGAGGATGGAAAGGACCCCAGGAAGCAGTACCAGGTGGACACAGGCTCATTGATTTTTGCCTAGTAAGTCACCACCTACACAATCTAGTGGACCTCACATGGGACAGTGAAGGGCCATGGGGGGCACCGCATTCAGGTATTCGGCTCAAGCTCAGAGTTGGCGAGTTCACCATGCCCAAGCGTGTGTTCAGTCCTTGCCTTGCCATCGACATGAGTTTGCCTGGGCCAGACTTACCTTGGGAATGGCACGCAGTCAGAGTTGAGCCGCAGATCCAAGAAGGCATGAACAAACTTCAGGCGAATATCCACTCCATGGGTGAAAGGCACTGCAGTGGCAAGCCTAACTACGATTTGGCCCAGCAGTGCATGAAGTTCGCATTGGCAGCAGAAAGCTTTTGCACGCACAGGAATCCCGATCTGGACTTCAACGACAGCGAGCAGCACCGAGGCTGGGCAGTGGAAGTTGTGGAAGTTCCTGTGGTTCCTACTACGGCGATGGGGTGGCAAGCGGAATATAGTGGCCTGAGTGCTTGGGCAGCGCTCTACGCTCGAGCAGCAGACTGGCTACACTTGCGGGGGAAGCTGAAGCACCCAGAGGAGATCGAGAAGGCCTGGCAGGCAGTAGAGTCCTGTTTAGCCAAAGTCTGGTCTCTTACGAGATTTTTGTCCAATGAGAGAGAAGAAAGAACGCTTCGCCTGACCGCTCAGCTTGCCACTTTCAAGCAAATAGATCGATGCAAGAGAGAGCTCAAAAATCTCGGTCGCACGGTGAAAAATGTTGAGCTCTACCTTGTTAGATCCAAGCAGAAGAGTTTTAAAGACTGGGTTCGCACTTCTTTAAGCAAAGGCGCTGGCGCGCTCCATGCTTGGACAAAATCGTGGGGAGAGGAAATCCCCGACCTCGCCCCTGAGAAGCGCCCCGACGGTAGCACCATAAGGGACCCCATTGAGGCCATCGACCAGAAGGCTCAGTTTTGGGAGTCCCTGTGGTGCTCGGAGGCTTTTGAAGGTCCCGCTGGGTGGTGGGAAGACTTCGTTCGGGAGGCCAGTAGGGAGCCTCTGGATGAACTCACCATGCAGCAGCTTTTAGGAGCCCTAAAGTCTTTCAAAGGAGTCGTAGGAGTCGGGGCTGATCAGCAGAACCCGAATTGGTGGCGCCGTCTTCCGAGAGAAGGTCTGGAGGATCTTCTAGCACTTCTCCAATCAGTCGAGAGAGCAGGCACTTGGCCACCTCAGATCTTCCTCAACATAGTTCAACTAATCCACAAGAGTCAGGTGGCTGATCGGCCAATCACCCTGACTCAGGGCTTGTATCGGACGTGGGGGAGGACTCGGAGGTGGGAGATTGCTGATTGGAGCGCCCATCGGACCCAGCACTGGGACAATGTGGTCAAGGGCAGCTCCTCCCTGCGAGCGGCCCTCATCC